GGAACTCCTATTTTGGGATGCTGGAAATATTTTATATTTTGATCAGGGGATACCTTCCTGGTGAATATATATGTAAAAATTCATCAAACTATACACTTAAGATAGGTACACTTATTGCACTATATTATACACATGTTAAATTTCAACTAGAAAGTCAAGAAAAAGAGCCCAGGACAGCTTGCATCACATCTTGATATTACCAACTGTAGAGCTACAGCTGACACAACCACAAGACTGTTGATGACTTACATTTTCCACTCTTCCCAACCAACACCAGCACCTCATCTGTAGACAGAGATTAAATAGGACTTTCCTCATGCAGTTGTTGTAAGGATTAAACACACACAGAGCAAAGAACTCAGAACATAGGATGGCACACCTCTGCTAAAGTTATATAGTACTGGAAAATACACCTGGCTGGTCTTTATATTTTCAAGCCATTTGGGATCTAGTGGGCATCAACTTTTTTTGATGTGGTTTTCTCCTACAACCTGATTTTCTTAAAAAAAAAAAAAAANTGCCGGGGTGCTTGTTTGCAGAGCCGAAGAATGAGCTTCACAAACAGTCAAGGTAGGTGAGCAAGGTACAGGCCTTTATTTAGAGATACAGTGAAAGGACAGAGCTCCCAGCTCACGCCAGGAGGGGACAAGAGAGTCCGTGGTGGTGCATTGTCTAGGGGTTTTATAGGCAGTTGAGGATATTTGGGAATGCAAAAAAAGCTTAGGGGTGTGGACTTGTTAAGTGGTCTCTGAATATTTAGAATTCACTTAACACAAGCAACTTCCTCTGATGATTTCTCCCTGGGATACCAGCATCTTGGTCTGGGGGCACATGAAACAAGGCCACTTGCTCAACCCCTAGGGTGGGCTGAGGTATTGTTTGCTAAAGAGTAAGTTAAGAATTCCTAAAGTCTTAACTTCTTTGGTATTAAAATGCAATCTTATCTTTAAGGTGGAATCCTTCCTGCCTTTTACTGTGTTGTTTATGCCTGGGCTTACCTGCTAAATTAGTTGCCCAGTTTGCAAAATCACTTCATCAGATCTGAAGGAGAAAGACAGCACATAGGCCTGGGCCTTTTAGTATGCTAAAGAGAACCTTACACATGATTATAAATGGTTAGCATAATAAAACATGTGCTACTCTTCTTTATCTGGGGAACATGAACTAATTTTACTTAAGAATGATTCTAGAGCTCCATGTTTAACATAGAGTTTAAGCAGGGGGGGTTTCCTTGCATGCAGTTGCATTGCTCTGACTGCAAATATTCCCCCCTGCCCCCTCTGGAGGCCCTTACCCTACTTTGACTACATCTATGGTCCCTGTCTCATATATACATACATACATATATACATATATATACATACATACATACATACCTTTACCTAGAAAGGTCAAAAGGGGAAAAAACTTAAATACCCTTAATCCATCATTTTTTATTTAGTAAAATTAAAGTTTCAAACATATCAAATGGAACAAAAGAAGCAAGCAAACAAATTTCACTACTTTTTTTTTAGACTTTGTAAAATAACATGTAAGTGTCCCTCATTTTCCCCTTCACTCTCCAGAGGTAACCAGATTACCAGGTCAATCTGTGTTTGAATTTGGTGTTCAGGAAAGAGTGAACAAACTCTCTGTATTGTGCAACTGTTGTGGGGGGCTGGTTAATAGCAGGCAATCAGTACACACAAGGCAAGTACTGATTAATGCAGCCTCTGATGGAGAAGGTGCTTGGCCTGTGTTCGACTGCAGGAGTCACAAGTTGCTCCTCTGTCCTCTGCCTAAAGCAGATTCCACAGAATTGCTCCTGCCGGCACCAAGACATTTGGTAACCTAAGTACTTGGCATGCACAACCACAGACTCACAGCTCAGGCTTGGTCTTTTCTCAGATAAACAATTCCAACAAGACACTGTCTGCAAGACGAGGGGGAGGTAGGAGGGGTGGTAAGGATTTTAAAAATTCTCTTTTCTGACTAATTCCTAGGTTTATAAAGCTTTCCCCCCTTACTAGCTCTGTTTTCCTCTTTTCCCAAATAGCTACCAAGTGATATTTGATGCTCCTTCTAGTGTGACTTTCCCTGGAGGGCTTGATGAATCCCTTAGGACAACACAACTTGCCCAGGGCCTTTTCCTGCAGCTGGTTGGAGGCAGTGGTGGGGAGGAGGTTGGGGGTGGGGGTGCATCAGAGGCGAGGAGGGTGTTCTGGAGTATGCTGCTTTTTTACTGAGAATTGGGGGCTCAATTTTTCTCTTTCAGAATTATTTGATGCTTCTCTTCTAAAGCTTATGAATATTTTATAATCTTTCTAGGCTGTTCAGATTAGATTTGGGGTGAGTTTAGGACTCACATATCTTTTTATCTTAAATTTTAAGACATGCATTCTATTTTTATTTGCTCTCCCAACCCCCCCCACCACTGATCTTTATTTGTTGCGTCTCTGTTTTAAACACTTGTACCAGCCTTCTGCCCCTTCCCCTCCTCAAATACTTCACTGGTTTCATTCGTTCATTCATTCATTCATTCAGTGCATGTTTTGTTAGCACTTCCGATTGCCGGGCTCTTCTCTAAATTTTGGGATGCTGCAGTGAACAAGACCAGGATCTTGGCATCTTACATTCAAGGCCCATGTCCATTCCGAACACAGATAAGCAAATGTACATTCCTAACACATAAAACAATGTCATGTTATAATAAACAGCAGTGTATGTGGATGGAGAATGATGTACTTGGAAAAGGGTATTTATTTTAGGTATAGTTGATCTGGTAGGACGTCTCCAAAGAGATGATATTCCTTTCGATGCCTTTACTTTCTTCTCAAGTCTTTCAAGGTGTCGGTGATCCATTTCTGCACCTCTTATTCTACATCACCCTTCTTACCTCTTCTTCATGTCACACATCCTTTGCTTCAGCCCTTTCTATGACTGCCTTATTTTCCTCTGCTTGCCCTCACTCTGGACTCCACCTTCCTGATTGTCTCATATTCTCCCCCTAATCATTTCCAGGAGTTTCCTTAAACAGGAAATTCACAAAGAATTTGCATGTGGGTGCTTAACACACACTTTTAAGTGATTTTATTATTATTCACATGCTTTGGAAATTGCTATTAGAGAAATAATTCTAGAGTAAACCAGAGGTTTGCAAACTTCTGGTTTGATGATCTGTTGTTTGCAGGGGATAAAAGGCTTTGAAAGAGATACCTTTCCCAGCTCCTTTTGCTCAGCCCTGAAAAGGCTACTTACATTTATAAAAATATCAGTTCAATAGAGCTTTACCTTGATATACAGCTATGGCAGTGGCTCTTAAATATCACTTTATGCTGAGTAGCATACATTGAAATCTGGAGTGGAAATGACTCCTTAACAAAACCCACACCCATTTTTAGTTGACTCACATTTTGAGCGAAGCCCAGACCACCTGTTGTTTATTCCCTACCATTTGGAACTCTACCTTCATTTCTGGGTTTCCTCCAGAAGACATGGAACATGGATCTCCACATAGCCTTTCACTTAACAAATAAATCTAACAATGGATGGGCCCTGTAAGTTTCACTAAACAATACACAGAGCCCATAAATTTTCGTGTCTTGGCCAGAATGGTGGCACCACATAACCTCTGCAGCAAATGCCTGTGCTTAGCACAATGCCTGAACCGTGATTGTTACTGAATATATCAATGACTAGAAAGGGAAGGACCATTTCTAATAATTAAATATTCACAAGATCTTCAGAATAATTTGATTCTGTCTTATCCATCATTTGGCAACTGTTTATGCCAGATTTTGAGGCACTTTTTTCTCATAATAGGAAATAGTTTTTAAAAGAAGAGTAAACATGAAACCACATTATCTACACAGACTCAATGACCTACAAAAATAAAAAATACTTTGTACTCCAACTAAGAATAAGACACTCAATTACATCAGATGGAACTCTGGAATCTCATCTGTGTTTTTATTTCATCTTGTAATGCTGAACTTGGAATCAGAGGGAAAGGGTCAGGCAAAGTAGCTATTTGAGGATTTAATTAAAGCATTGAGCCTTAGGAGCTGCTCAGGTTAAGCCAGAAGGATGGTAACATTGTGGTGGTGAAGAGTTTCATTGTTGGTTTTACAGGTTCTGTGATTTCATTTTGTCAATTCACAAGGAATGAGCTTTCACCCTCGTCTACCCAGCCTTCCTCCTAGGTCTGTACCTTCCGCCTCCAGGCTTCAGGCTTAGGTCCACCTAGACTTTATGACTCAAGTGTGGAGCCCAGAGTGTCCAGGGCTTTGCTACTCAGAAAGGGATCTGAGTGGCAAGAGCATCATTTGTCCACTTGTTAGAAAAGCAGGGTCTCAGGCTCCACCCCAAAAGTCCTGAATCAGAATCTGCATTTCAGCAAGGTCACCTGCCTGAATGTTAGAGTTTGATGAGCACCTGTCTGAGTTCTCACTGACCACTGAACAGCATGGTTATCAAACATTAGTGAGCTTCAGGATCATTGAGTCATTTATTCAAAAATGAAAATTCCTAGTCCCCACACCAGAGATTGGATTCAGGAAGTCTGATAGGCCTTGAATCTCCCTTTTCTTGGGCCTGTGCCCTGGTCTGGTTCTGAGCTCAGGCTCAGTCCTGAAAGTTGAGCTTCTACAGTCTTATCTCCTTATCACAATTCTATTAATTGTGTTCTGTCCTTCAGTCTCTGCTTTGAAAATTCTTTTCAATGGTGGCTTTAGAATTTCTATGCAGAAAGGTCTGTACAGCATTTATGTGAAGGGCACTATTGGCATTTTGGGCTGTATAACAATCTGGTTTAAAGGAGGAGGTTGGAGCTGTTTTTGCTTAACACTTTACATAAGATTGAGGAAACATCAGCTGCCTGTATTAAGAAACCAGAGATAAGACAATTTGGTACTGACACAAAAACAGACCCATAGGCCAATGGAACAGACTAGAGAGCCCTGATATAAATCCAACCATATATGGTCAATTAATATATGATAAAGAAGTCATGGACATACAATGGGGAAATGACAGCCTCTTCAACAGCTGGTGTTGGCAAAACTGGACAGCTACCTGCAAGAGAATGAAACTGGATTACTGTTTAACCCCATACACAAAAGTAAACTTGAAATGGATCAAAGACCTGAATGTAAGTCATGAAACCATAAAACTCTTAGAAGACAACATAGGCAAAAATTTCCTGAATATAAGCACAAGCAACTTCTTCCTGAATGAATCTCCTCGAGCAAGGGAAACAAAAGCAAAAAATGAACTCATGGGACTACATCAAACTAAAAAGTTTCTGTACAGCAAAGGACACCATCAACCGAACAAAAAGGCATCCTACAGTATGGGAGAACATATTTGTAAAAGACATATCCGACCAGGGGTTAACATCCAAAATATATAAAGAACTTACATGCCTCAACACCCAAAAAGCAAATAACCTGATTAACAAATGGGAAGAGGATATGAAGAGACAGTTCTCCAAAGAAGAAATTCAGATGGCCAACAGACACATGAAAAGATGCTCCACATCACTAATCATCTGGGAAATGCACATTAAAAACACAATGAGATATCACCTCACACCAGTCAGAATGGCCAGCATCAAAAAGACTAAGAACAACAAATGCTGGCAAGGATGTAGAAAAACGGGAATGCTTCTACACTGCTGGTGGGAAGGTAAGCTAGTTCAACCATGTGGAAAGCAATATGNTGGGGGTCGCTCCTAGCAGAGCTTACATGCAAAGCTTTTTAACTGGGCTCCTCCTCCCAGGGCAGAACTCAGGCTGCCTGCAGGGTTTTCAGCTTTCTGTTGGCCCTAAGCCCTTGCTCCTGGGACATGTGGCAGCAGAAAGGCTCTCCCCCCCAGGCTGCAGGGCCTGGGTGCACCGTGGCCACGTGGACATCTATCCCCTCTTAGGACCCTCAGGTTCTAGGAGTCACTCGCCCTCCCCCAGGGTATGCTCCCAGCCTCCCTCTACTGGCCTTGGCCTCCTTTTGGCTTTGGAAGATGCAAAGGTCAGTCAGACCCAGCTCCTTCCTGAGGAAGCTCAGGGCAGCACAGCTGGGCAGATGCAGCACAACTGAGTGTGATGCGTGCCCACTAGCAGTGTGGGCCACAAGGACAGAATTAATTAAGTTGCCTGGGACAGGGAATCTCAAAGGGCCTGGGAAGCCGATGTGGTTGGATAATGCATATTTGATATGATAGTGGCCTTTTACATTCAGAGAGGGACCCCCCGGCACACTCATATCATCACAAAAGCTAATGGAGAATACTACCTTGGCTACTGGGCATGTACAGAAGAGAGACTCTCTCAGGTGGTGCAGTGTTCCCCCTGCCCCAGAGAGCTCCTGAACACCAGACTTGTAGTTAGAGTCTTTTAATCACCAGCATCAGAACAGTCTGCACCTAACTCAACACAGGGATTTATCAGGAGGATATCAGATGGCTCACAGAACACCAAGAAGTCTATAGAACAAGGTTCGCAAATGTGTTGGAAGCAGGGCAGATTGTGGGGTTTGGGTAGCAGTTTTGTCTGGGAACCACCTGTTGAATGAAAGAGTTCTAACTATTTTGTCTTCATACTACTTTTTTGAAGATTCAAATCCCAGGACAGGACTATTTGGTCTGGCTTGATAAGGAGAAGGCTGCCCACTTAACAGACTATATCCAAAAGGAAGGGCAATTCCCCAGTGGAAATGGGGGTTCTGGAGTAGATGCCTGGCAGCCAAAAAAGCAAATAATGTCTTACTACTTGAAAACACACTTTCATGGCATCTTAGACTCCACTAGAAGTATGTTCCGTGAGATAGAGATTTTTGTCTATTTTTGTCTCTGTTGTTTCTCAAGTGCCTAGAACAGTGCTGGGAACACAGTAAGCTCTCCATAAATATTTGTTGAGTGAATGAAAGAATGAATGACTAGAGTGGCTGTATGGCATGATGGTTAAAGATTAGCCTCTGGAGTCAGGCTGCCTGGGTTCGAAGCCCAACTCTCTTATTTTCTGGTTGTATTAATCTTGGATGGGTACTTAACTTCCTTGTGCTTATGTGCTTAGGTTTCCTCATAGCTACAATGGTATTGATAGGTTTTATTTCATAGGGTTGTAGTTAGAGTGTGGTTATAACAATGTGTATCAAGTTGGCTATTGTTTGATCTACCTATTTCTGTGTAACAAACTATCCCAAAACATAATGACTTAAATCAACATTGTATTTATTTGCTCCTGATTCTGTAATTTGGACTGGAGTGGGAGGAGACAAGTCAGCTCTGCTCCTTGTGATGTCTGTTGGTGATGGCACAACCACAATGGCATTCTGACTCATATCTGGCAGCTCTGCAAAGATGGCTGAAATGGCTGGGAGCTGGCTGGGAGAGCTTGTCTGGGATCATATATGTGCGACCTTGGTTTTTGCTGTCAGCTGGGTTCTCAGTTCTCTTTCACGTGGCCTTCACATGTCTCCCTCTCCACATGGCCTCTCATGGGTGTCTCCATGGACTCTGAGCTGGCTATGTAAGAAGTCTGGCTACTCTGCTTCCAAGAGCATAAAAGTGGAAACTTCTAGGTTCTTAAGGCATAAGGTCACAAGGCTTATGAGGCATCCTGTTGGTTTTTCTGCCTCAGCACTACTGACATTTGGGGCTGGATAAGCCTTTGTCATGGGGTGCAGTACTGTGCACTGCAGGATGTTCAACACCTCCCTGACCTCTACCCACCCGTGACAGACAAAATTATTTACAAACATTGTCAAATGTTCCCCAGGGAGCAAAATCTCCCTTGGTTGAGAACTCTTTGGTTAAAGCAAGACACAGGTGCAAACCAGATTAGGATGGAGAGGTGAAAGAGGGCAGGGAGACCTGGAAACTAGGTTCCCTGAGGACCATCAGCGTTACAGACTTACACAGCTATTATTATCTCTTAACATTGCTTTATCTCAGCATGATTTTCTTTAAACAATCCCTGCTTCTGGATTCTGCCCACGTGTTGGGCCATCCCTCCCTCTTTCTAAGGGTTGCTCACTCTGATTGCTCGTCTGAACGTCCCCGCTTGCTGTGGGCAGTGCTCTGCAGCCTCCGTGTCTGGTCACTGCCCTTGGCTTCCTCTGCTGCACCACCCGAGTGGCCAGTGTGTTGGTTCTGCTCGCTTTCCCGTCCCACCGTGGCTACCTGAGCCATCTCTGGTGCCCGTGGCTGCAGCACACAGCCAGGCTTTGGGACTGGAAAGGCTGATCTTGAGCGCCTGAATACAGCACATGCTGTCATTCCCAGGTGAACTACCGCCGGCTATGCGCTCTTGCTCTATCACCCCTTCCCCCACTGACTAACTCCTTTTCTTTTCTTGAGATTCATCTGAGGGGTCACCTTCCCTAGGAAACCTTCCCCAAAAGCCCAGTGTCTGGAGGGCAGAGGCCATATCACATCCATCTTCATGTTCCCACAGTGTCCACTGCATGGAAAATATTTTTTTTATCAATAAACGAATGATTTTAAAAAGGAAATAATTTAAAATTTGAAGAGAGTGTGAGGAAGTGCGGGAGTGAATCATGCCATTATCTGAAGAGCCTTCTGGGCAGGAGGAGCAGCAAGTTCCTGACCAGAGGCTGACGTGGCCACGGTGTGTTTGAGGAAGAGCAAAGAGGCAGGTGGGGGAGGACAGAGAGCAGGGGGAGATGGGCTCCAACAGGCAACAGGACAGATCGCTTGCTTTGTTGGTCAAGATAAGGACTCTGGATTTTATTCTGAATGAGATGAGAAGTGACAGGGGGACGTTACAAGCAGAAGGGTGACTTACACTGACCTGTGGTTTTAGAAGATTATTCTGGCTCTTATGTTGATTCTACAGCAGTCAGGGCCAGGAAAAGAGCAATGAGACCAGTTACGAAGCCACTGAAATAATCTAGCAAGAGATGCTGATGGCCTTTCCTGGTGGGCTGGATGCAGGGTATGAGAGAAAGATTGGTATCAGGAATGACTTCATGGTTTGGAGTCTGAGCAAGAAGAATGGAGGGCTATTTTCTGAGATGAGGAAACTGCTTAGGGATGGAAATTAAATGTTTAGTTTTGACATTTTGTGAGATGCTTATTATACATTCAGTTGGTTGCAGAGTAGACAGTTGGATCTGTAAGTGTGAAGTGCAGAAGCATATAAACTGAATATGTAAATGTGGAATTTCTTAGCTCTATTACTTAAGCTAGGATAAGCTTCTGTGATTAAAAAAACAAGAAAATACAATGGCTTGAAATAATAGAATTTTATTTCTCATAATGCAACAGTCTAGGAGAGTTCTAGATCACTGGCAAATTGTGGCAAGACCTTTGTGTATGGAAAATTGGAGACAGAAACCTGATTGAAATTGTTCAACAAAGAGTGAGAAAGGGGGGAATTGGAATCATAGACTGTGTATAGGCAATTCACTTAAGGAGTTGTGTTATAAAAGGGAGCCAAGAAATGGGTGGTGGCTTGAGGAAGATATAGGCTCCATTTTTTGTTGTCATTGTTTTTGCTTTACTATTTTAAGACATTTTTTAAAATAAGAAAAATTGCAGCATGTTTGTATGCTGATGGAACTGGTTCAGTAGAGAGGAAAAGACTGATGAGGCAGGAAGGAGAGAGGAGAATTTCAAGAGCCCTGTCCTTGAATAGGCAGAGGAAATGCCAACCAGAGTGAGGGCTTTTGGCTTTAGATAGGAGCACAGACCATTGTTCTTCCATAAAAACAGCAGGCTGCCCTGAGTGTATGGGCACAAAAGTAGCTAAGGGGGTCAGCCATCCTGGTTTTTCTGGCCCTGAAGGGTTTCCTGGATCATGAGACTTTCAGTGCCTGAACTTGCATAGCCAAGGGCAATCAGGAATGGTTAGTCCTCTTAGAGGCAGGAAAATTGGTGGTGTGGGTGTATGGAAGTTCTCTTTTGATTACTTGGAGTATTGCCAAATGAGAAAGGGCAAGCCTTCCTTTGTTGATTCAATCCATTACTAAGCATCTATGCAGTTTAAATCCCAGTGTCATGCAATGTGAAGGATATTACAAGGAATGAGTTGCTGTCCCTGTTCTTGTAGAGCTGA